GGACATGCCTGCTGCCTTCTCTTGGGGGATGCTGGATGGAGACTCCCCCAGATTCATCCCTGCAGTGGCACTGCCTTCCAGGAGAGGGGTGATGCCTGCTTGCGGTGCCACGGGGACGCTGGCTGCTCTGGGTATCCCCAAGGTGCCTGGCACAGCCGTGCCCATGCCTGGTGCAGTGCTGGGTGACCATGTGTCTGGCCCTGGAGATGTCCCACGTCGGGGCCCAGCCTGGAGCAGTGGGGATGGTGCAGGTCCAGGGGTGACACCAGTTCCTGGGGATGCTGAGCCTGCAGTGGGACTAGGCTGGCTGTGGCTAGGAGATGTATCAGGCACAGCTGGTGTGGCTCCAGTGTCCCACAGCACTGTGGTGGCATTGTCACTGGCCAGTGACGCTGTTCCCATCCCTGCTTCACTAATTGGAGAGTTGCTAACAAGAAAGGATGGATGGGGAGCTGGGCCCGTCCTGATGCCATACATGCTGAGGGAAGATGTTGGTGCAGCAGTGACTTGAGGGGCCTCATCTGGCTTTGCTTCTCCAGCACCCATGAGGGACAAGGACATGGCCACACTGGGTCTGGCTGGAGAGGATCCGCTTGCATCCGCCTCTGCTGTAGTGGCCCCAGGGCCTGCTGAGGGGGTCTGGGGGAACAGAGACCCCGTGGAGTGTTCAAAGTGCCCCATAGAGGGACCATCAGGGCCATTGGGAGCTGCATGGGGGGACAGCCTCGTGCCGAGCCCCACTAGGGTGGCCTTGGTCTCTGTGGAAGTGGTGTCTGCGGTGGGTCTGGCACTGGGCTCACTCCTGACGGACACCAGCTCAGCATCGGTGCTTCCCAGAGCTGGGAATGACTCAGTGGGGACGTGCTCTGCAGGGATGACGTCCATCGCCATAGCTGGCGTGCCTGGAGCTAGTGCAGTGGCCTGAGGGCGGGCGACAGCGTTGGCTCCAAGCAGCTCATCTCCAGCAGCACCAGGCACCACACTATGGCTTGGGGGAAGCGCCTCTCCTGTGCCTGGCACAGCACCACCGGGGAGCTGGGGCGAAAGGGCTGGAGGCAGTTGAGGACGGGGTGCAGGGGGGTCCTGCGAGGCGTTGTGGCTGGCACTGGGTAAGGCACGTGTCCCTGGCTCTGTAGCCTCGCCTATTCCAGTGGTGGCAGAAGAAAAGGTGACCTTTGCCGAGGATGCGTTTGGGGGGTCCGCAGACGGTGGGGCTGCCATCCTGTCTCCCTCCGTGGCTGCGTGGGGGGGGCCCCCGGGGAGGGAGAGGGGCTGGCTGAGGCTGCGGCCAGCTGCACGGGGCTGCCCGTGTCCCGAGAGATGCTAGCTGCTGTGGCTGGAGGGGAGGTGACCTCGTCCAGCCCTGGTATGACCTCCTGGGAAGGGAGCATGGCGGTTCTGTGTGGCTCAGCAGAGCCCTTGCTGATGCTGGGGGGTGACGTCCCTGTGCTGTGCGCATTCTTGGGGAGCAATTGCACTGTGGTCCATCCTGTCGCCGGCATCCCCTCCGCAATGACAGCATCGCCCGGCTTCACCAACTCATCAGCATCAGTCAGTTTGCCAGTGACTGAGGAAGATGCTTTTGGCACTGGCACTGGTCGAGCAGCTGGGACGTGTGCCACTGTCGGGGACAGACCTCTGCCTGGTACTGAGGGGACATCTCTCAGTGTGCTGGCAGCACCCATGGGTGGCTTGGCTGCAGTCCCCTCTTGCACAGGGACATTTGTTCCCACAACTGGCTCTCCAGAGACATTATCTAGAGCCACCCTGGACACTACCACATTCTGCTCGGGAGCAGTGCTGCTGTTTGATGGTGGTTTGCTTGTCCCCGTTATGGCAGGAACACCTGGAGCTGGGGACGAAGTGGCTATAACTGCCCCAGCACCACCACCCATGGCAGGACCCACCTCATGCCCCGTTGGTGCAAGCAACAGAAGCTGCCTGTGACGAGTGGTGGCGGGAGCTGGAGGGACGCTGGTCGGATGGCCGGCAGCGCCTGGCGAGGAGACCGCAACCCCTGCCTGGGGGCTGCCTCGCATTGCCGAACCCCCAGGGACAGCTGCCGCACTAGGAGGCTCTCCCTGCTCTCCACTGGTCCTGGCTGGGACCAGTGCTCTCGCCGTCACCTGCGGCACCGGGCTGCCTGTGGGGTGAGACAAGGTGGCCCCAGCTGGATCAACCCTGCTGTGGCCCCAGCAGGCAGGAACCTGCCCATGCCCAGCTGCCTGCCGGCCTTACCTGAGCCTTGGCTGCCTGCTGTGGCTTGTGGTCCTGCCGCGGGAGAGGGGGGCTCCGGCTGGGCGGTCGCGGTGGTGGGGAACGCCTGGCACATGGCCACGTCTGGAGGCAGCTCAGCGCTGGTGCTGTCGGCACCGGGAGAGACGCTGCCCGGTTCTGCCGGGGCCAGCGCGAGGACAAAGGGCTGCTCTCTCGTCTCCCCGGCTTGCGCTGGTGCCAGAGCAGGTGGGTGAAGGCAGGATGAGGGGAAAAAAAAACAGCCTGGGGTCTCCATCACCCCCATCCCTCCTCCCTGCTGCGGGAGGAAGGTGCCCCCAGCCCTTGGGGATGGTCCCCACTCCAGCACCCACAGCCAGACCAACGCTGAGAGCAAGACAGGCACCTTCCCCGTGGGTGAAAGTCCCCATTTGACCCACAAACCCCCCTGCCCCTTCCCTGGCTTCAGTTGGGCCACCATGCTATGGCTGTGGCACCAGCAGGCAGAGCCGGGGCAAACCCCGGCGTGGCGCTTGGGCTTGGACCTGCAGTGTTCGAGCAGCCGTTCACAGTCCGTCACCCATCACCCAGATGGTATCGGCCATCTGGTCAGCCCAGCATGGGTGCAACTGACCCCAGCACTTACCTGGTAGCACCCAGAGGCCCGAC